CAGTGAAGATGTGCTTTTCTTTGTAGTTTATAAATGAGAGTGTTAGCCAAAGCAAATAATTTTCCAGAGTATCACATTGAACCTGGAGCAAAAGAGGTAACTCAGTTTAGTCTCCCACATCACAGAGCTACTGTCCTGCTCCTCATCACCTCCTCTCTCATATCAACCAAGAAAAAAGGTCCTGTTACATGGTTTCTGCTGACCTGAGGAGGTCGAGTGGGATGAGCTGTATTCTTACAGATAGTCACAGATGCTAACAATTGTGATTTGTTGCCAGTGGCTACTCTAGTGCCTAATAGTAATAAGGAAGGCAAAAGAGTTTGTTGTTCCTAGGTGGGCAAAAGCTTTGTATTTCTACTGTATCTTTCCTCTAAGAATCACGGGCATTTCATATCTATCAAGAACACATCATATTCTCACAGACGGGAATATAAGTAACATCATCTAATAATCAAGTGAAACACAGGACAGTTAAACAGATTAGCCAGGGAGAGAGATGGGAACGTAGCCTGTATTGAACCGTTCAATAGCTCTTATTATCCTTCTTCTAGTCACTTATTCAGATGGCAAAAGCCTCGGTCTAACCTGGCCTAATACCCAAACCCAAACTGAAACAAAATTAAGCTTTGAGAAACACTAGTGCTTATTGATTTTGTATTATTTACAATTTTCTGTCCCAGTTGAGATGGATACAAAAGTGTCAATACATTAAGAAAGTGACTCATCTCACAGCTATTTTTGGCTGTATGCAGGAGGAACTGCAGAGGTGTGTGAAAATGGAATGAAGACAAAAGCAAGTCAACCAAATACACAGAGGCAGATATGATCAGCACTTAAAAACAATAGCCTAAGCAATTTTATTAAGTTTTATGCCTCTTGAATCACACACTCTTATTTTAAATCTAAAATGCAACTGTGACTGCAGGGAGAAATCATCTTACCATTAGAAAAACAAGACCCAAAAAGATTATAACATGAGCATGGTAGGTTGACAACCACAGGAGGACATGGTCCAACTCTGGCACAATTATGTCTGGTGTAACCCGCCATACTGTCCTGCACCCCACTCTGAGCACCTCTGAGAATGATCATCTATCATGTGGCAGGGACTCCTTACACCTTTGTAGGGTCTTAAGTTTTTTAGATTAAAGGCAAGTGGTTTAATCTTCTCTTGGTTGAAACGGCCGTGGTAGAAGTGCAGTCCGTGCTGGGGACATGTGTGCTTCTTGTCCTCGAGCAGTACACCTATTCTTGTCCAACACCATGCTCTGAGGACTTAGAAACCAAAACTACTGTTAGAGTTTATCCATTTCCTTCCTTTCCAATCCTGTGAGAATTATTTGATTATTTAGGTAGGTGTGGGTGCATGTCTGGAAAAGGGACAGATCCAGGAGAACCCACTGTGAGAGGGCCAAGCTGTGGAGAGAAGTTTTGCAATGAGTTGTAACACACACAAGGCTCCTGACCTTTACAAGTCAATTATTATTGCCCTCAGCCAAGACCTATTAGCTTTGGATCTGATTTAACTCAGTTACTGAAGCACACTGGAAATGTCTGTCATTTCTTTTTTTAAATAATAAAAAAATTATTACCTTTCACTCCTCAGTCAGAAAGATTTTGAAACAAGCTTTAAAGGGGGAAATTTTCTTCCTTCCATCTGTAGCTTTTCAAGATTAACAATGCTTCTTTTATTTTGAAATGATAGCTACTACCTGGTAGTTCTGGGTCACTGGGCTGTCTTCAAGGCATCCTTGCATTCAGTTGCACATCCAATTAAGTCTTACAGCTGAAATATACTTTTGCTTCTCTTTTTTTTCCCCTGGTGCCATCAGAATACCAATTTGAAAAAAGACAAACGCTGCAGGACAAAGACAAATACATACCAAACTATCATGCATGCTTTCTTGAATCCCATGGGCCAAGGATAGCTCCATCACAGTCTGCAAGAAGGTGGTCACATTTTCACACTTACTAGCTCACTTCAGCGTAAATAGACCACAAAGCACACAGTGTTTCTCTTTATAGCTCAATTTAACGCAAGAAACCACTGGAATAAGCTAGCTTTTTGATCCATAAAGCAGTGCTGTAATTTACATTTTGTTCTGGTTTTCCTTCTTATCACCAGTGCTGTCAGAAGTCTCTTGATTCATTATTGTGGCAATGGAAACACTGAAACACTGATACAGCAACATGGGTAAATGTGGAAGATGCAACATTACTGACCCGTTATTCCAGGACACTGTGGGTGTCCCGGGAGATTACATTGCTGGAGGGAAACACAGCCTTGTTGATGGGTAGCTTTAGGTCCATAGAAGCTTGTGAATAGGCTCCAGAATTATTATTAGGGAGTGAGCGAAGAGAGCAGAGCACAGGGGAACAGCTTTTGCGGGAAAGCAAGCAGATACAATTTTATGGCACCCTGATTTCTGAAACAACCTCAAATTACACCATGCAAGTAGGTCTCAGCCAGTGCCTGTGACCCTGTACATACTGCCACAGCTTGATGGAAGTGCAAAGTTGCCTCTAAACACTTCTGCTCTGCATTGTGAGCCAGAATCCCAAAACCTCCCCTCTCCCTAATGTTGGATATAGACAGAACAGGGTCAAAGCTTGTGACAAAGCCAGCTATGTACCACGGCCAAGTACTGGAAATCCAGTGGGAACAGAGATCTGTGCCAGGTACTTGCCCACAACCTTAACCCTAGCCCACCCAATTTGCTCCAATGCAAATTTAAAACCAAAACTCAAAATGCAGGCTTGTCAAGAGGCTAAAGAAGTGACAAGAAAGATTTCATAGAAGCTTGTCAGCTTTGTCAGCCTCCTCAACAGCTCACCAGCACCCCCAGCTCTTTGTAGAAGGAGTCTGGGTATCCCTGCAGCCCTGCCTGCACATGGGCAGGAGCTGAGCACTTAGAAATTGCCCAGTGCCCCAAAGAAGCCAGCACGGACCCAAGGCAGATCTGGAGCACCTGGCTCAGCCCTGTGGTCAGCCCACGATGCTGCAAACACAAGGAATCATTTCAAAAAGAGGCTAAGGATCCTGTAGAAATTTTGCCCAGTCTCATTACTGGAAACCTACTTGACACAGTGAACAAACATGGCAACTTTTCCAGGAACCGTGTTTCTTTATTTAAATAAAAATTAGTGCCAGTAGAAACAATAAACTTTAAATACATGAGACAATTATATACAACTCAACGTTAGGAATTATGTACATCAGGTTTTTTACAGACACAAATACATTTATACCAAAAGTAAAAGGACGAACGAGAAAGCAATGGAAAATGTGACAACTTGCACATGTCAGTCTCATTTGGAAAGTTTCAGGATTCAAGTGATTCCAGGCAAAGCGCCAAACTTAATTTGGCTTCTTTCAAACTTAAAACAGTCCCTTTTGGAATAAATCTACCAAAAAGCTTTATATGGTCTGATCCAAAGTTCACTGAAGTCGATGGAAAAACTCCCACTGCCTTCAGTCTGAACCGAATCAGGCCCTTTCTGAGCACAATGGAGCCTTTGTTCTGCTGTGTTTAGAGAGAGACAGTGATATCTCTGCAGGCTACATCACATTAGCTCTCCAAGCCAAAAGCAGAGCTCTTCCTACTAAACAGCAGAAGTACAGCAGGATCTTGTCTCAGTTTGTTTCTGCTGTTCAGCATTCATATTTCTCAAGCTGTCTCTCAAGCTCTACGGCAAATGGGTAAATCACGGATCCATTCCAGCGCAGGAAATACACACAGGCATTTTGCAAACAGCTTGCTGTACAAAGCTTTAGATTCAGGCTCTTCAGCCCTCATGCTTCAGAACTAATCCAAACATTGTAATAAGTTATTATAAAATATAAGGTACAAGTGAAATATTAATTTTTATGTTTATTCATTCTTACTTCTTTTAACAGTGCAATAATTTAGTAACTAATTTCATGAACATTTGAAAAAAAAAATCACAGTACCATTAAGTTAGGAGGGAGAGTTTGCGGTGGTTTTAAAACCTAGTTACTAATGACTTTATAGAAATGCATGTGTCACATGCGAGCTGTTAAAAAAATGTAATAGAAATGCAATGATTATATACACTGGCTTAAATAGAGCAGAAAGTCTCAATTCTTTAATAATGTAAAGGGGTACAGTTGTACTGACCTCAAATGGAGGATTTCACTCCAACAGAGAAGTACAAAATCTTGTACACGTCCTCTGAAGTCAGGAGGACTCAGCTGATGACTTCAGTGGGGCCAGGATTTCTCCCTTGCTAGGTTAAATTCTATTCTGAATTCCACCTATTTTTCAAGGGGGTGTAACAGAGCAGCATTTGTTCAAGCCTTTCTACATCTTACACCTTGTAACAAAGATCTTTTAATGTCTTCTTTAACTTATATATATATGCCTTTAGTGATCAAATGTACACATCTTTAAGAAATACAAAAGCCAAAAACAAAACCACTTTTCCTACCAGAAACTCGGTCAAAGGCTGGATTGCAGCAGAAGTTGGTGAACCTGACCCAGCCAGTACAGGTACAACTTAAGCAAAGATGGATATAGTGGCATGGATATGAAACTGGGCTTTACAAACCTCCTAGAAATTGATGCCTTTTTTATTTTCTTTTTTTCTTTTCATCTTTTTCTTTCATTCTTTCTGTGCCTGAAGTCAATTTCCAGCCATGGTGCAATCTCCCTTCAACTACAGCATCGACAAATTTTCAGCTTTTGAGGCCTCTGAGGAAACCTCCTGTTGGCTGTGGTTTGTTATAGGAAAAAACACAGTAAAAGTACTTCTAGTCTATCTCAGTTTTGTGTGAATAAGCATTATCCATCATCTTTAACAACCAGGCACTTGCGTTAAGGGTAACTTCCCGAAACATTTCCCAGATACTTGCAGAATTCCAAAATATGCAGAGACATGCCAGTAATAGTTACCTTGTTAAAAAATACATATATTCTCCTTGTTCTTAGCTCTTATGGTAAGAAATAATAATGGAAAAAATGAAATTAAGCATCCCAATTATGTGCAAGTTACACTTTGGAGTTGAGTACCACTGCTTCCTTGTCCTGACAGCTCTCAGGAACACCTTGGGCCCAGAGGCACAGACACCTGGTTCAGAGTTCATTGGAGAGCACGAAAGTAGAACTGAAAGTTCTTAGTGGGAGCTCCACTCACTCTTTTGCAGCTGATCAAGAGAGCCCTGCAAGTGCTAGGAGTTCTTGTGGATGTTTTCCGCAGATCCTTCGCTGCTCTCATTGAGGAGGGTTTCTGACACTTCCCCCAGTTCAGCATCCAGCACTTCCTCCTGGATGGTGAAGTGCACATCTGGGGAGGAAGATTCGGAGCTCACACTGCTGCCTTCCATTGAGCAGATGGCACAGGACAGGGATGGCACCATGCTCTCCTGCAGCATGTTCAACATCATGGGGATCTGGACAGATTTCAGCCCTGATATGGTTGGTAGAGGCTTCACAGCTTCCCCCCATTCTCTCTCCTCGTCTTTGTAGAGCAGAAGCAAATTGGACTTCTTCTCTTTTCTTTTGGATTTCATGTAGCCGAGCATTATCCCTATCAGGAAGATCCCATAGAAAGACATGACGATCAGGATGTAAAAATACTCATTGCTGCTATTCTTGTCTGTGTTGCGGGATTCAGCATCAAGCATGGCTTGGGTCATGTTTGCATGGTCCATCTTCAGCATGGAAAAGCTAACACCTGGAGGAGAATGTGTATGTATGTGTAAGGTCAAACTTGACATCAAAGATGTAAAAGAAACATCTGAAAAAAGATACCCCAGTCTATTCCTTTCTACCTGTAATTTGTAAACTTGCAAAACACACACCTAATTGAAACTTACAGTCTATGATACCTCTGCATTACTATTGCAAGTGAATTAATTGTTATTCAGATACAGAAAACATAAGAGAAAAGAAAATACATAATATTAAATCACATCAGAGTTCTATGCTGTTATAAAACACCCAACCCACATGATTTAAGAAAAACAAACCTATATAGAAATACTGTGCTAGGCATTGAAACATAGTTTTGTGCTACTTGACCATGTTACCATAGAAGGAAGAAAAGTTAAAAGTATTATTTTATTCAATGGTGCAGGGGAAAAAAAATCAAAAAGCAACTTACGTTGGTATGCAAATAATTCCTCTTTGTGCAAAGCTCAAGAGACCTTTCCTCTACCAAATGCCGGGTGTTCTGAAAACTTTCCTCTGCTGCAGTTGGAATAAATAGCTCTCAAGAAATGTTTCATCACGTGTTTTAGAGGCACAGTTTATAATAGTTTTGTGTTGGAGTCAACAGATGAACTTGAAGGATTGCAGTTCAACCCACTGAACCCTTAACAGCTGTGAAAAGAAAAAGAGTTGGGAATTCAGATTTTACTCTTTCCTAACCAGTTCAGCACTGGCTGTTTGAGCTTGTGAATCTGTCCTTTTTCGCTGCCATCCCAATTGCTGAATCTGACCTGTTACACTGAATATACTTTGAGTACACAGAATGGAAAACGTGCAGACCATCATTCTGCATTTGTCATAAAATATAGCAAAATATACATGTGAATTTTACAGTAGTCACTATCAAATTACTTAAATGGCTGCTCTACATAGTTGTCCCTAAGAGATGGTGGAGGAAACAAGATATTTTCTTTGCCTGGAACTAGTGACAAAGTTTTACAAAGCGTGTACAAAACAAAGTGGTGACTTTTAGCTCACGATGCAGCTCCACTTTGCCACAAGGTGCAGGGCTGTGGAGAACTGCATCCTGGGTCTCATGTGAGTTTTGAATGGAAGGGTGCTGGGAACACCTAACTTTTGCCATCGGAGCAGTAACTATAGGATTTTGGTTCTCCACATAATCACAGAAATGGTGCAGACTCCTCCAGGGAGCAATTCAGAGCTCCTAAAGTTGACATTCCTCTGTTCTCACTGTAAAAGCAGCCAAGAGCCATGTGGTCTGTGTGCTGCTTATGCATAAATAGACCAGGACCACTGAGTTAATGCAGGTTTTAGTATGAAGGGATGTTAACAGCTTCTGGGCAGAGGGATGGTCTCTGAGGGGCTGCTGGAGACTGCTGCAGCTGGCTCCTGGGCTGAGCAGGATGCCTCCCAAACTGCTGGGGAGGGCAGAGTGAGGATGCTGGCTGGGTCGCAGGGCCCACAGAGTTCCCAGTCATCAGCTCAGTGGTACAGGAGGTAGCAAGACCCCTTTTCAACACGTAAGCAGCAGCACAGGCCATGGGAAGAAGGAGGCCCAGCTTGCACCTTGGGGATTTCACTTCCTTATCCTCTCCATCCCCGTTCTTCACACACAAAGCCCAATTAGTCAGGCCCTACATGTGAATGTCACCCCTTCTGCAAAGCTTCAAGGATGTTTATGTAACAGAACACTCCACTTCCAGAAAGTAGTTGACTGGTGCTGGAGTTTCCCAACGGCAGGTCTGGGGATTTTTTTTCCCCTTGCAATCACTTGTGGATTCTTTACATAGACAGCAAATTCTTTTCCAAACTCTGCCCTCACAATCCCTCTGAGGTAAAAGCAAATAGGATTAATCTCTCTTCACATGAAGGAGAAAGCAAGAGAAAGGAGTTAAGCAGCTTCAAATGAAGAATCCAAGCAAAGACACAACTGTGTCTGTGTTTTGAACCAGCATTTTCCATAATTTCTCTGAACAACTCCACAAAGAAAAGAAAAAGAAATTGCATTAGCCAGATTCCCTTCTTTGCCCCTTAAAATAGAGGATCCACCCCTTCGGATGTTGGTTTTATCTCCTTGCGCATTCCCATGTGATAGCTCAGGAGCTGTTGATGTTGGACTAATGTCTACTGGGATTTCATGTGACAAAATCTGTCTGCAGCACCAGCTTGCCAAGTCTGGATTCTTCTTTCCGTTCCTGACAAATTACGGAGCAGGCAGCAAGAGCATGTTAACTGTTAGGCTAAAGCATAACCCAGAGAAAGTATCTGGATTTTGTAGTTGACTTTGGTTAAATTTTATTTCACATCTTTCTCAGCTCCATGTGATATTTTCTCCCCAATTCATCTGTAGAAATTTGGAATTTGAAAAATTAAAGACAATGAGTCAGGGGTTACCAACACCCTTCTATGCATGACTGTCACAGAATAGTGAGGAAATGCCCAGCACTGTTTTGTCATTGAAGACTGGCTCAGTACAAGGAGAAATGCCTTGTCTGTGCCCACAACTCCCTGTGAAACCAGCTTTGAATCTGGTTGATCCTGCGAACAAGACCACCTAATGCCTGTCCTGCTGCCTCCTATCATCAGTGTTACACACAGGTCATCACTCACCTCAACAGGAGGAGCACTTTCAGACACCCAGAGGCACTGATACCCCAGAGCTGCTACCTGTGAGCCACTGGAGCAGGGCCAGACCCTCTTCTGCAGGTGCTCATAAGTGAGAACAAGGTCTCTCATTTGCTCCAAAGTCTCATTAGTGTTCTTCATGTAGGTGCAGGTCTGTGCAAGGTTACCAAAAGCTGCACTGCAGCACCCAGCAGGAGTGCAGGAAGGCTGGTCAGGTACATCCGTAGATTTATGCAATCCCATGAAGTTCAACTGCAAGATGACTGAATTTCATAATGATGCAGAATTACTGCCTAAACTCTTTGCAACTACGTTTACTTTGGCTAGCTGATGACAACAGCTCTTCTCCATCTGTTAGACCATGATTCTGAAAAACAATTTCATTTAAAAAAGGCCTGGAAGGAATCCCTAAGCCTTTTATAGACATGAAGAGGAAGGATAGGAAGACACTGGGGAATAACCACCTGAAAAACATATGCCACTTGCTTACTGGTGCCGTAAGTCAGATTTATCAAGCTGTACCCTGTAGAAATTATATTTTTGTCTAATAACAAGGCCAAGAAAATAGACAAGTGGAGCCTGTTAAGTCTGTGTTTCAAAATTACTTTTGCTGCACATTACATTGTAAAACCATTGATCATGGCAAAAATACTTGCTGAGTTTGAAGTATCTTTTTTTTTTAAATTAAGGTTATTAGCTATTTCTTTCTTGTTGTTTCTTTCTTGCTTTCCACTCATTTTTTTCCCCCCAAACTTCACAGAATTTCCCCTGGAATTTCACTTACAGATCTCTTATGCTTTCAGCAGTTGCCTTTCACATGTTCACCTTCTTTTCATCAATCCCAACCTAGGCTATAACATTTAAGAATAATTCTCATGCTGTTGCTCCCACCTTCCAGATTGCCCCTTTGGAAAACATTTAGACTAATAAACTAGAGCAACTGCCAAGCACTCCAGTGATGGAAAGTTCACAACATAGTTGATGATGCCAGATTTTTTTTTCTCAAGGTCCCTGTCTCCTAGAGAGCCTTTTGTGGCAGCAGCCTCCGTCACCAAAGGACGCAGGACTTGAGGCTTGAGGCATCCCATGGTGCAGGAATTTTTCACAGCATGGCTTAAGGGATAGTATAATGTGAACCCTTTCTCCAAGTAAGAATTTGAGGACATTCAGAAAACGAACCGAAGACAAAATCCCTTATGAAGACAACATGAAATGTCCTCAGAGACTCAGATGACTCTCTGCAGGCTGCCATGGAAAATACATGCTTAACCCTTCATTGTGGGCATAACCCATGGCCTGATGCTGCATTTACCTTTTTCTTTTCTCCAGTTAGTGAGTTAACAAGACTAAAGGTACAAGACACAACTGTAAAAGGGCTAGCTCCTATGGGAAGCTGAGCCTGTTTGGTAAGTGTATGCTAACTCTAAAGAGTATGTATCACTCTAAAGAGTATCTGAGCACATGCATTTTGGAGTGATCACCTGAAAAACTGAGGGGAAAAAGAAAAAAAAGTGAAGAAAATAGAAATAGAAAAATGGGAAGGACAGAGGGGTTGGGGTTTTTCTTCCTGCATGTGGACCTTTAACGAAAGCAAAGGTTGGGGATTCACCATGAGGGAGAAAAAAAAGGGAGAGTTTTGCCATGTAAATACTGTTTTTAAATTCAGTTTTCCTGACCCTAATAAAGCCTCACAGCCCTCCTGGGAGGAAGGGATTTTTGGCAGAGAAAAGAAATTAATCTGGGCAATTGGACAGAGCCTGGGGCAACATAGTTTAGTGTGTGGTGTCCCTGCTCATGGCAGGGGGGTTGGAACTAGATGATCTTAAGGTCCTTTCCAACCCTGACTATTCTATGATTCTATGATTTAGTTACGATTTAGTTCTTAAAGACACTGCGGTTGGGAAAGGACAGCAAAGATCATCAATATTTTTCACTCACATATATGATTTCAATTAAAGTAAATTAGAGATCAAGACCTGGGTTTGACACTATAAAGGAAGACACAGTGAAAAGGATGTTTGTGCCCTGGATTTGGTCTTGTGTTTAAAGACCTGCCATGCTGAGATATAGGCATTGGCTTTTTGGCCTGCTGCAAAATACACACCTCACTGATGACCTAACCCAAAGGTCCTTGAAGTCAAACCCCCTTAAAGTTAAGGGCAGTGCCTCAACTAAGGAGAATGTCAGATCAAGAACAGCACCTGCTCTTTTGAAGTTCTTGCAACTCGGAGTCAATTTTCAGTGAAGCTTGTGAGTATGTTGGAATAAAAGAGTTAGTTCAAATGCAGCAAGCAAGTCATGCACTCATTCCCAGAGTAGAGAATGAGTAGCAACCGACACTAGCCACGTGCCTCCTTGCTAATAAGCCTACTTACAGTATGAAATCTATGAGCTTTACTACACGCTTTTAACGCTTCTGTGCTTCAGTTCACCCACTTGTGGAACGAATCTAATAATACCTACAAATTACATGTGCTGTGAGACTACAACATGGTAATGCTCTGACAGATTGCTATATGAAAAGGTAATAACTGTTGTGTTTATAAGTGCAACAGCATTACCACATGGCTGGGCTGGTATCTGAGCAATTCTCACACAGCTCTAAGTTCAGTGTCACTTGCCATCACTCTTCCTTATTTTTCATGCTGCAGAAATAGATGACTTATTTTTTTATATACTTCACATAAGCAATTTCTAGAGGAAGGCAGCAATTCTGTCAGTGTTATCCACAATATACTGTGTTACCATCTGGATACCAAACTGCATCAATGCTCTGCCCCAGTTATTAACTGCAAAAGGCTTAGTAAAATGCTACACTCTGCCTTGCTACCTTACAGTATTCACTGGTGAAAGCATGCAA